ATTACAAATGGGAATGATGAACAAAACTACTAAAATACAATTCAAGTTAAACCAGAATGATCCTTAAAGATTGCTCACTCTTTCTAACGTTTGCTACAAAATGGAAATATCCCAAGATACCATTCCATGGCATCTTTAAACAAATTGCACGGCACCCTGACAATAGGATTTTGAGATATTTTTGCTTTGAGACTTGAGTATTCCAGATTAAAGCTTAATGGAGTGCGCAAAATGCGCAAAACTCTGAGAGGCATTCATGTCAACATTTTATGGCATTCAGCCCATCAGACTTGAAATTTTGTCCTGACAGACCCACTAGAGGAAAGGTCAGGGGGTCACAAACATCATTAAGAAGGGGAACTCCACCAGTTTTAAATGTCAGAGTCATTTCACAGAAAGCCTGTGTTACAAACTTAGGGCATGAAGTTTGAAATATAGGCAAATAGGCAGGTAGGGTCTAACAAAAGACACTATCAAGTTGTATTATCAGAAGTGTAGGATTCCGCAGTTTTGGTTTGACTCATACTAAAGACAAAGGTCCACATATCTCATCCTCTACTGCTTTGTTTCTGACTTGTCTCCTCCGAGTTACCAACTTGAGATTTATCATTCTGATTCAAGGTTTTGGTCAGAAAAACAGAAAAGCGATGCAAACGAGTAAACATAAGATTGTTTCAGTTTTTCCCTAATGAAAATGTCCAAACCTGCTGCGTATGTCAGCCAACAGGTTAAGGTATGTGTTCCTTATTTGAAAAAACGCTCTCCCTGGATGTATTTCTGCAAGTTTTGCACCCTTGCTCCTGCTAAAAGAAGAGTGGAGATAGGTCTACGCAAGATTTGTCAGCATGGGATATGGGATGTGGCATGTGGGAGAAGTTTGCCTTCTGCCAGAAATTACATGAGACCAATTTCAGGGTTACCACTGTTTCTCAATCATTTTCCAGGACTTTTTCTTGACAATATAGGACAGATGATTTTCCCACTGCGTCCTTAGTGGAGTACAGCTGCAGTTTCTGCAAACAAAGTTTTCCTTTAATTGTAACATTAATTTAGCCAGAACAAAATACGCACCCAGATTCACGTAATCTGAGTGAGGGGGTAAAATACATAAAAAAATTCCAGGACAACAGATTATTTACAGGATATTTGGTCATTTTAATCAATATCCAGGTATTTTTATGACTGGAACAGTAGTCTATAAATTTACAGGTTTTCCAGATCTTCCAGGATGCATAGGAACTCAAAAATGTATGAGGCTGAGAGGCAGCACATTTTATATGATCCAAAGCACCATGTATATATTTGATATATAATCAAAAAGATGAAGAAGGAAATCTGGGATTTGTTGGGAGTTACAAGTAAGTAAAATGTCTTCGAGCTATATAGAAACAAAAGGCTGTCTCTGCAACATCGCTCGCAGTATATCTCATTTTTTGTGCCCCATTTGCTAGAGTTTACTAGCTCGGTGTATGTTAGGAGTACAAAACTAGAGTGTGCGACAAACTACAAATCTAAAAAACCTTCTTATGAAGAATGTAGACTACTGAAACTCTCCAGCTGACAATAATAGTGGGACATGATACTAATACACATGGAACTTGAGCCTCTTAGGGACAGGACAGTGACAGGAATTTTGTATGATGTGTTGGATTTTCTCGCCGCTGTTTGCCTGGTTGGTCTGAAAAGCTCTTGGCAGGTACACCATCTGGCTACTGACATCATGGCTACATCACAGTGTAAGAGGAACTGACAGAACTGGGCTGTCGGCAGCAAAAAGACAGGGCTTTTTGTTTGGCACAAAAAAATTCTCAGACAGGCACAGCAAACCAATATACTGTTTTTGTTGCATTCGCTTTTCCTGAAAACCAATTTTTTTATATTATTCCTCCAATTATACGCCCTTCTCTGTCTCATACCGCCTCCTTTCATCCATCTTCCTTGTTTTCTTTCTTCTCTGCTGTTCCTTCCCGACTCCCCAGAGAACTGGATACCATTAGTTCTTTCTGAGTGGGCTATCCTCTCTAAGCTCATCTCCGAGGAATCTTGCGAGCCACTTTGCTGCCAATGTGTTGTGGTGTGGTACAGAGAGGGGAACTTGATTTCACCGATCTGCTTAATTAATCCAGTTAAATCTTCTCTGTTGACAGTGGCTATTCATTTCAATGTCCTTTTCATATTCCTCATTGAAATAGCACAAGCAAATGGGTTGGCATTCAGCCAGGCAGTTTTATAAATATCAGAAAAACCTTTTAGACAAAAAACTTCAGCACATCAGATTCGTAAGACTATAATTAGGGCCCGAGCACTGA